TTAAAGTATCAAAGGATGATAATTTTGTTTCTGACAATGGTCGTTGTTACCCGGATTTGGTAAAATGATTTATGAACAATTTATCTATTCATCTGAATGAGGATGGACAACACATGCTTGTCACTACTGTTCGCGACTTTGAGTTGAACGAGGATCTGTCAAATATTGTCGCTACGCTCAAGATTCCATATACCGGGTTTTTCCTCCAGAAAGGTGTCAATCACAGAGAGGGACCTTGGGCTCAATATGACAAGATGGAATACTACTACAGTATCTGCAGGTTTCCTCGAGAAGTTGTAATAGCTGGACAACGAACTGCTCGTACCCTATGTTACGTCAAGAATTTGTCGGTAAATGGTTGAATGCTCCATTATATCATCTGTTATGTTCTGATTCCAAAAGATTTCAATCATGCCCAGATCAATGATCTTGAGATGCAACTGATGTATGCCATAAAGAACAAAATCAAAGTTAATTGGATATTAACAATGATGTATCATCTCCAACAGCAGCTTACTCTTTCTACCCGACTCCCGTATGGTCGTCTTATATCTAGCATCTTGGAATTAACGGATTTAGATCTGAACAGGTAACCATCCATTGCCATGAAACCGACAGCAAATGAGATTAATGAAATAACCATCATCACGAACACCGGTATTGTGAAAAGCAATGATGGAACTTATAAGTATGAAGACGGTTCATCTACCTCCAACAATCCATTCCCAATCCCGGAAGGTGGCATTACAAACGAGTTTCTCTACGTCACAATGATGAATCAACATAGAGAAACGACCCGGGCAATTAACTCACTTTGAAGACTTGTCATAAGTTTTCATAATCCAAATGCCGAAAATGATGAATATGAGGACGGAAGTGAATAAGAGAATGGAAGCGAGGAGATGTCAGATGATGATATCTAAAGCACTTGTTTATGTTCTTTATTCATGTTTTAGAATTTGTTTAAGTTTATGTTTTCTGTTTCGTATTCGTAACTGTATCGTACTATGTGCGTGTGTTATCGTATCGATAAACAAAGTTGTGTTTGTTGTGTTAAGTATATGTGTTGGGCTTATTTTATGTGTGTATGTATGTTTACTTTAATTATCATATGCTCCTCTTCCTTTTTGCTAATGACAAAGGGGGAGAAGGATTGGTCACTCTAACGTTTTCTTGTGCAGAAAAAGTTATACCTCTTGTATTAAAGGCTTAGCTATGTTTTAATTAATTATCATAAAGTTTGTTTGGGAAGCAATGTTAAGTAAAAAGAATGATTAAATTGTAGAAGCAAGCTTCAAGTTCATTAAAGTTTTGATGAAGACAACAAGAACAAATTTTCTACGCAACACATATATACACAAAAAGCAAGAGTTTCAAGTAAACATCAAGGATCAAGATAATGCTCTAACATGTGACAATTGTGATCAAGCTTCTCATACAAGCTTCAAGTGTTGAAGATAGAGTTTTGAACATCAATTTAAAGGTATAACAAATATTACTTGAAAATACCTATACAAATGTTCAAAAATTCATATCTCACTACACATATATCACAAATACCTTTAAAACATTTTTTGGTTACTCACTCATGTTAAAAATAATTCTGTTTTGAAAATCTTTCAGTGTTAACCGATTAACCCTTTTGATTAATTGGTTAACGAATCTCAAAATTGATTTATTGGTGATTTTATTACAGTGTTAACCGATTAACATGTGTACATTTTGAATATTTTTAAACGTTGAAGAGTGTTAACCGATTAACACTGAAGCAGTAAGCAAAAATGGCAGTTTTTCATGAAAATATGCATTGATTTCATTTTAATTTTTGATTGTTTTTGCTGCATAAAATCACACCCTTTTGGAAAGATTTTTTGATTAGTATATTGATATCAGATTTTAAATTCCAATTCACCTCCAAGAAACAAAATCATAAAAATTACTCAGTTTCTTTATCTCTCAATTTTTCATAAAGTGTTCAAAATCAGTTTTTGAAAAGAAGATTTTTAAATAAACTTTCACACTATCACAACTTCATTTCATTTCCTTTTAAAAGAACACTTGTATATCTCTTTGAGTAATATTTGTTTCAAGGAGAAGATCGATCGTCAAGATTGATAACATCACTATATTCTCAAGACATCAACTTATTTCAAGATTACTTTCTTTGTATTACCTTGTTATCCAGGACTGTTGGAAACAAGTGAGTGTGTGAAGAGGATTGTTCTTCTACACTTGGATCACCTATAGATTAGATAGTAGGCTTCACCATTGGTGTGATTAGGTTGTGCAATTATTCTAAACTATAGTGAAATCTCTTTCGAGTCGAAAGGGGAGTGGAGTACTCTCGGAGTGTGAGGGGAACCACGATAAATTTCTTGTGTCTCTTTTTCTTTTCCGCACTTTATTTTCAAGTCCTAACATCATAACCGAAAAAGAACCAAGAACCGAAAAAGATTGCAAATAATTTTTGAGAACCTAATTCATCATGGAAGCAAGTGTTCAATCTAGCAAATTCGCAATCCAATACCTTGGGGAGAATCAATTTGCTCCTTTGGCAAAAGATTCCAGCAAAGCTCCCACCAATATGAAATAATAAGTCTTATCAAGGAAAAGTAAATTGCAACTGAGGAAACCGAACACAAGAATTGAGGATATGGTCTTAATTCTAGACACGAGCACAAATAAAGCTCAAGTGTTTTAGAAGAAAAATTTGTTTAGAAGGTATGGGAAGAGATGAGTCAACAACACAATTCATGAAACTAATACTCTAATTAAAATATCTGTTCGCGCGTGATTTTCGCGCGGACAACCTTTGACCTCCCTCCGCGGGTTTACTTGTGGGACCGGCCAAACTAGTCCCAGGACACTGGTTTTGGGTGGATTGTTTACTTAGGTTTTATGGCGCACTCGACGGTTATTTGCTTTATGGAGCGTGTAGGATTAAACTTAGGCAAATAAAGACAAAGATTTTCCTAATAAGACAAGGAAATGTTGAACAAGGAAAAAACGTTACTTTAAATAACATAAAGACTTGGTAAACTTAACGTGAAAAAGTAAAGTACAACTGGACGTATTCGTACATTTTGGAATAAAAAGGAAACTTTTTTCACGTTAGTGTGTGGTACTCAGTTTTTCTTCAAATGCTGACAAAAGACGTCACTTCTTCATAACAAAACTTTGCTTTATATAGACACATAGAATAATTGTCAGGAAGCTTCAGGAGGCGCCACGTGTCAGTCCACTACTTTTGTAACTTCTCCCACATTCCTCTTTTCAAAATGATTTCCCACCAGGCACAAAAACTCTCCTGTCGAGGGTACCTCTGTCAGTTTTTTGGGTCGACCAACGCAGGTACCTATCGACCATGCAACTCCCTTTGTAGTGTCGATTCAAGGCGTGTCTTTTCCAGATTTTGTTGTTGTCGATCCTTGGCTGCCAATATGGTCAAGACCCTTTCCTCCACCCAAGGATTTAGTCGGTCTGGCACCTACTTCTTCCACCTCCTGTCGAGGTCGATACTTCCAGTTGGCTAATTTTCAGCCAACAATATCGAAAGGATTTAAAATATTTTCATAACATAAAAACTCATCACTGGCCATGATTTACATGTATACCACAGAGTATGGTAGTTCATCTAACCTTACCAGAAGAAAGAAAAGACTCGGATTTTGACGATTGGATGAACTGTTTTCTCATAGTATTTGACAAGTTAAAAAGGTAATCTTCCTTTTTCACCATGGCATTGTGTAATTTAGAGACAATATGGGTTAGCCAAAATGATGAACTGGAAAAACGAGTTTTGGTCGACTGGATTCACAATAACCTGTGTAAATTAATCTTATAGGGCTATGGTTCTATATTTCCTCACTGTTTTAATTTAAGGATGTTTTGGGGGAACAGAAGAATGTGGGATTCTGGATTGTCCTGCTGGTGTTTAGTCGTGCAGAGAACATTCATTCCAGCAAGTCATCTTTGAAAGCTGTGACACTTCAAATGTTTACATATTGTGCTTTAGCTTAATACTGTGATATGATTCAACTACGAAGTCCTCACAGAGCACTCTCCCCTAATGTCCACATCATGTTTTTGCTAATTCTGAATTTCTTAATCACATATCCTTGAATGACCTGCTTCTAAGTTTGTGGTTAAGATGACTGCTATTTGTTGATGTTTTAGGTGAAAGTTAGGTTTCGCTGCAATAACCAATCAAGCTGGTTAATGCAACCATTATTTTAAATAAAAATATCAATCAAATATACTTTTTTTTAGTGATTCTTTCATCACAATGAAATAAACAAAATAAACTCCTACGTACTCATGTTTTGCTTTTGCTTCATGAGTTAAAGTTTTAAGGTAACAAAGTCTTTAGGTTGGACAACAAAGTAAATTATATGTTAACAAATCCTAACCAGAGAATACTGATAAACCAGAACAAGAAATCCTAACCAGAGAATACTTTCTCCTAACTGAATGCTAACAACTTTTCTGAATACTTTCTCCTAACTGAATGCTAACAACTTTTCCGAATATCTCCTCTAATCCCTTTCTCTCCCTCTTATAAACAAAATTCTGGAATATCATAACTAACTCCTATTTCACTTCTTCTACAATCTTCTAGAACACGCCTAGGTGTCCTATCAAATAACAGATATTTGTCTTCAAAATACTTGTTCAAACAATAATAGCACACAACACAAACATGAAATAAAATTTATACTTGACACTAATATAATATATGCTAGAATCTTTGCTCTCAAATTAAACGACATAATGATAATAAAAGAGCAAGTGACCAATAGTACTGACCGTAAATTAGAAGAAACCACACTTCTAGTTATACATGATTCGTGTTGCAAAATTCACAAAACCAGTTCACATACTTTTCAGAGTTGAATTTGTCTTTTCCACGAAGAGAGAACATTTTTTTATATTTCAATAAACAAAAGAAAAACTTTACCTATAATCATCAAGACATAATGTACAACTTTGTTAACCTTGTATCACTTGAAGGAATTGCTATTGTTATCAGGAGAAACATAAAATGCTTTTGTCGCCGCTATGGCAGAGTCTCCTCTCTTGACAATTTTCTCAAGCTCCTCAACCTTCTCCAACAAGGAAGCAACATTTGAATTGGTAGATTGAACCAGCTTGTTTGCAGTATCTAGAGAAGTACATAACTGAATAAAGGATAGAAAAACACGTTATATGGGTTTAAGATATTGAAAAAAAAAATAGACAAACAATCTGAAAATATGGGTTTAACTCATGGAAAGTTTTTTTTTTATGACAAAATAATATATTAATAAAAATAAGGTAAAAACCGCGTGAATACACAGAATCCCAAAACACAAGAAGTGCCAAGAGGACAGCCAAGAATACGAAAAAAACGCCATAACCAGAAACAACTTGGATCCAAGGCAAACACACATCAATTATTGGTTAAGATAGGGGATAGGGTTATGAAGCCAATCAGAGTGAGTTCACCCTGATCTACCTAGAAACCATTTCCAGACAAAAAAAAATACTCTTCTCGTTCACCTCGAAAGAGTTTTGTAACACCATTTCTAAAGTAAATAATTCAATCCTAGAGAATGAAGTAAGCTATTTCAAACACTTACGAAAAATTAAATTGTTTACATTGTGTACACATACATAACAAATCATTATGTATTCATTCTCAATCGTCAAAATGTTGAAATATGATTAAATTAGATGCATATGTAAAAAAAGTTATAGACTCAGTTTCTATAGAAATTAAAGATATAATAATAAAGATGATGAAAGGAAAAGAAACCTTCAAAGTGAGAGAAGTCCAAGAATGATCGGTGGCATTGAGAGCTTCGTTAAGGTGATCGTAGTTTTCCTGAAAGAGTTTGGTGAGATCAGGAAGTGGTTGGTTGTTGTTGCTGAGATCTGAAAGAGAAGAAGATCCAGAAGTGGGATGATAGGATGAAGAGGTTGTTCCTCCATCTTCATTTTCTTCTCCGACGTCGCTGAGGAGATCTCCGATGCATAAAAGGGGTCCTCCGATTCCTCTCATTTTCTCTTCTTTTCTTTTTTCGATCTAAGTTTCTTCTGCAACTTGTGTTTATCGGATTTTTCTTCTTCTTTCCCTTTCTAAACCCTGGATTCAATTCAATTAAGTTAGCGAACGGATGATGAAATTGATTTGAAATGGAGAAGAAAACAAAACCTCTTATACATTTTTTAAAAGAAAACTTTAAATTAAAAATTAATTTAAATAATTATTTATAAAAGAGTAAGAATCAACTTACATAATAACCTTTAAATTAAATTTAATTTAATGGTTAAATGAGTAAATTATAAAAAAGAGGGAGTGGATCCTCACTCTTTATAAAATGTTATTTAAAATATTTTATTATTTTATATATTAAAATTAAAATTATATATATAATTTTTGAGTTTAACTATATTTAAATATTTAATAATATATATTTATGTTTTTGATTTATGAGAGATTGAAATTAAGGAATTTAGATGCTTATAGAGAAATTTCAAGAATTTCATTCTTTATATTTAACTCCAAGATTATCATGCATATAATCATATAAAGTATAAGAATAGATGCATGAATCCACGAAGCTGTTAGGTTTCAATGGAGATTTTCGAGAACGTCAAACGTCGTTTCTTTAGTGTTGGTCCACGAGCAACAACTCAATCACCACGTATGTTAATACGGAAGAAGAGAACAAACTTATCTCATTACTTTTGTGGTTAGGAAGAACCGAAAGATAGGAGGAAGAGAAAGCGACGAAGATGATAGAAATGGTGAGTATTTCTCATGTAACATCTATCTTATATATGGTTAAATGGAGGAGGATTGATTCAGCCCATAATGTCATATATTACGTAACTTAATCATCCCTTTTAAGATCATTTCTTTTCCAATTCATAACCTCCATAATCTCTCAACTTCTCTTCCAATTCATAACCTCCCAATTTAATCCTTATGTTCCTATTTATGTGACCACATAGACCCAATAATATTTGTATTTGGTCAAATAGCTTTGTCTAATAAAACATAATTGGCATCTATCTAAGCATTATGATCACCTAATATTATTGAATACTTTATATCCATAAATTTTTTAATTTATATTTAGATTAATACACTTGATTGAAAGACAAAATTCGGCAATCTCACATTTATCTAAGAACAAATGTGTAATCTTCAAATTCATTAAGTCGCTCAATGTCCAACTTGATGATATGATGACATCCAATGTCACCCATATCAGCCTTAAAGTCATTTCTTAAAATCCGAGTTTGAACTGTCAAAACAAATGATAAACTCCTTAATCCATTTGAGTACGACCATGCATTTTCCAGTTCTCGCTCTTCAAGAGGCCCGAGACACCAATTATAACCTTTAATGAATACTTATCCAATCTTGCATAACCAAGACTACCACTTAATTCTTGACAACTCTGATCACTGCCTTTATAGCCTCCTATTATGGCACGACGTTTTGTAGTGTCAAAATGTACCAATTCTCAAATGAGAATAATGTCATACTCAAGTCTAATGAATCTACTAAATAGAATTGCGAATTCTCAAAATATTTTGGTGAATTCTTAGTGGGTCTGTCTGGCGTGGATCAACTATACATACCTAAGTAATTGACTAAACATCTTCATGTCTCATAGCCCATGAAATTACGCTATCAATCAACTTACAATCTAGTCCATGAAATTGAATCATTTATGTCCAACTTAATGATTCGAATTAAGGACTAAAGTATGTTATAACTCTTGTTCACTAGATAGGGTTCGATTTGTCAAATCACATATTTGACAATTCTATCAAATTTTATAGATACATTAGACATATTATTTAATACTAAACCAAGATTAATTAAGATCATAATTTTATTCATAAACGTATAAAAACATAATCAAGTGGTTTTGCAATTGTGAACTAATTAAAATTAAATATTTCATAATCAAATCCACTCACAATATGCTTAAGCTCTATATACCTAGTATGTCTCTCATGCTTGGGCTGAGGCAATGGTTTAGTCAATGGATCAACAACTTTGCTATTTGTATAAACTTTACTAACTATTACATCCTTTCTCTCAACAATTTCTAGAATGATATGAAACTTTCTAAGTACGTGTTTGCACCTTTGGTGTGGTCTTGGTTCCTTAGATTGAGTTATGGCACCACTATTATCATAGTACAAAATAATGTCATCTATAACACTAGGTACCTAGCTCTGAAATGAACTTCTTCATTCAAATAGTTTACTGCTTATCCATTTAACCTAAAGATGAAATCAAATTGAGATCAGAAGTCATCTTTGTCAACTTGAATGCTCGCATTTGTGTAACACTCAACAACTAATTCATTTTCACCTCCATGTACTAAGAATTTATCTTTAGCCCCTCTCATGTACTTCAAGATATTCTTAGTTGCACTTCAGTGTGTGTCACCTGGATTTGATTGGAATTTGCTACATGTGTTCAAAGCATATGAAAATATTTTAATTAATTTATTTAATTGAAAATATTTGTATTTTTGGTGTTTTTCGGTGTTTTCGGTGGTTTTGGGAATTATTGGGGAATTATGCATATTTGGAGTATTTATTTTGGAATAATAGTATGTAATATGGATTTATTAATATTATTATGAATTAAAATAAATATAAGTGAAATAAGGGTAATTTGGTCATTTGGAGGAGTTAGTAAGGGTAATGAAGGAAAAGCCAAATTGGGAGGCCCAAGACTAAGTTGGACAAAATAGAATTTTGAAGAGATTTAGAATTCATTTGTTAACCGTGAAAAGAATGAGGCCAGGGCTCTGAGGAGGGATCAGTGGAGGAAAAAGCTTCGGAAGATTGTCGGAGTTAATCGTGAAAGCTTTGAATCGGCTAAGGTATGGGGAGTATCTCATTTCATGATTTTCATGTATGCCTTTAGGTATTTTGGGTTTATGATTTAAGATATTTTGGGTTGATTGTGGGAAAGTAAGGGAAATTGACAATGAACTCTGAGATTATGGTTTGTGATATGTATCACAGAATATTGAATATCTGATATGAGGATTAGGAAACCTTAGGCCTTCGTGGCCAAAACTATAGGGTGACATGCATTCGACCTTGAAGGGATAGAGATAGGTGATATGAGAAATTATGATGCCTTTAGGGTAATTGCAGGAAAATAGTATTTTAGGCAGTGCAAATGTTGCTAGATTGGCCTAATAAACCATAGATTTGGTGTCGTTATCGCCGTATAACATTGGAGATGTTTTAATGATGTTTTGGGGGCATTGGGTAAGTAAATCGTATGAGTATTTGGACGGAAATCAGTTTTGGTGCGTAGCAGGTTTTGCTGTCATCACTCTGTTCGCCTAGCGAAGGTTCGCTACAAGACTCGCCTAGCGAGCAAGCCAGCGAGGATTCGCTAGAGGCTCGCCTAGAGAGCAAGCCAGCGAGGGGTTCGCTACGAGACTCGCCTAGCGAGCCAGGCAGCGAACGTAGCAGAGTTCGCGAATATTGATCGTGTGCAGCGATGCCGTGATGTTTGATTCTGGGATTCCGGTGATGAGTTACTATGAGTATGACAGTGAGGTTGCGTGAGCAATAAGTGATAGTATGATAATTACCGCAAGTGTAATTATGACGAATTAATATGAGGCAATGTGAGATGATATTAGGGATTAATGTGTGAATATTAGGTGATGATATGATGAATTAACATGAGTAGAACTGTGAAGCTTATGTGATTGATAGGTGATAGTGTGAGGATTACCGTGAGTATAATTTGATAAATTAATATGAGATGATATGGGGGTAGTATTATGAATTAATATGGGATAATATGACTATGAGCTAATATGTGATTTATACGTGATTATATGATGACATGATTTGTGAGAATGATTAATATGATGGGTTATGGTGATATGCTGTATGATGAGTAATATGATGAATTATGATGATATGTTGTGTGATGATTAATATGATGAATTATGATGATATGTTGTATGATGATTAATATGATGAATTATGATGATATGTTGCATGATGAGTAATATGATGAATTATGATGATATGATGTATTGATGATTAATATGATGAGTTATGACGTATGACGAATATGACGAATATGATGAATGATGATGCACCATATGTTGTTATTATGAGGATTATTGTGACGTGTGCATCATGCATTCATGTGCATCCGGACTTCGGTTCAGGACCTCGATTACTTTGGCTTCAATCCCACTGTGTGGATGTGAAGTATTTTGATGTGCTCCGATCCTATTGATGGGGATCTATGGGGGGTTGATGGCCCAGTGTCCATCAATGAAGGTGAGATAATACTTAGAAGGGGGGGGGGGGTTGAATAAGTATGATAAATTAAGACTTAAAAAATAATCACACAATTATTTTTATCCTGGTTCGTTTAAACAACTACTCCAGTCCACCCTTCCTAGAGTGATTTGCCTTTCTCAACAAGGACTTAATCCACTATTAAATCAAACTGATTACAATAGTATCACCTAAGAACAATAGTTCTTAGTCTTCTCAAGAGCTACTGATTCTAACTGAATCCTCTTAAGGAATATCCTTTACAATCAATGTAAATTAAGTACAAGAGTATTAATGCTTCTATAAAGCTTTTATCACAACAGTGATTTTTCTCTTAAGTTTAAGTACAATAAATTCTAAGAAGAATAAGAATGAATGAGAGCTTAGAATATAATGATTTCTTTTCAGCAAATTGTGTAACTGAAGAATGTGGTGAAGTTCTCCTTTTATAGGCAGCTGATCCAATGAAGCTGAGCGTTGAAAAGAGAGTCCCAAAAGGTTTGAGCCTTTTTGTCTTCACATCAAGTGACTTTTCCTAGAAGTAGATGGCACAGAAAAATCCTTTTTGTCTGTGTAAGTGTGTCTAGCACAAATAAGGAAAGAGACGTTGAATAACTCCAACGGATATATTCTTGAAAATTACTTCTTCAGTTTTCAGCAAGTTCTTCAGAGTCTGAATGGATCAGAGTCTTTTAATGAGATTCA